TGTTTATCTTCCTTTTGTTAAGTTGTATGAGTTCCCTATAAATTTTGGAGATTAGGCCCTTATCAGATATGACATTGGCAAATATGTTTTCCCACACAGTGGGTTTTCTCGTTGTTTTGTTGATGGTTTCTTTTGCTGTGCAGAAGCTTTTTATTTTGATGTAGTCCCATTTGTTCATTTTCTCTTTAGTTTCAAGTGCCCTAGGAGCTGTATCGGTGAAGAAATTGCTTCGGCATATGTCTGAGATTTTGTTGCCTTTGGATTCTTCTAGAATTTTTATGGTTTCCTGTCGTACATTTAAGTCCTTTATCCATTTTGAGTTTATTTTTGTGTATGGTGTAAGTTGGTGGTCTAGTTTCATTTTCTTGCATATATCTGTCCAATTTTCCCAACACCATTTATTGAAGAGACTATCTTGGCTCCATTGTATGTTCTTGCCTCCTTTGTCAAATATGAATTGAGCATATTGGTTTGGGCTGATTTCTGGGCTCTCTATTCTATTCCATTGATCTATATGCCTATTCTTGTGCCAGTACCAGGCAGTTTTGAGAACAGTGGCTTTGTAATACAACTTGATATCTGGTATTGAGATCCCACCTACTTTGGTCTTTTTCAGGATTGCTGCAGCTATTCGGGGTCTTTTTTTATTCCAGATGAATTTTTGGAGAGTTCATTCTAGATCTCTGAAGTATGCCATTGGTATTTTAATGGGAAGTGCGTTGAATTTATAGATTGCTTTGGGTAGTATGGACATTTTAATGATGTTGATTCTACCAATCCATGAACACAGTATGTTCTTCCATCTGTTTATGTCTTCCTCTATATCTTTTTTCAACGTCCTGTAGTTTTCTGAGTAGAGGTCTTTTACCTCTTTAGTTAAGTTTATTCCTAGGTAGCTTAATTTTTTTGGTGCGATGGTAAACGGGATTGTTTTTATAATCTCTCTTTCTGAAAGTTCACTATTGGTGTATTGAAATGCCTCAGATTTCTTGGGGTTAATTTTGTATCCTGCTACATTGCCAAATTCATGTATTAAGTCTAGTAGCTTTTTGATGGAGTCTCTAGGGTTTTGTATGTATAATATCATGTCGTCTGCAAATAAGGACAGTTTTACTTCCTCTTTTCCAATTTGGATGCCTTTTATTTCTTCTTCTTGCCGAATTGCAATGGCTAACACTTCCAGTACTATGTTGAACAGGAGTGGTGAGAGTGGGCATCCCTGTCTTGTTCCTGTTCTTAGGGGAAATGGTGTTAGTTTTTGTCCATTGAGTATGATGTTGGCTGTGGGCCTGTCATATATGGCTTTTATTATGTTGAGGTATGATCCTTCTACTCCCACCTTGCTGAGAGCTTTTATCAAAAATGGGTGTTGAATTTTGTCAAATGCTTTTTCTGCATCAATTGATATGACCATGTGGTTTTTTTCTTTCAATTTGTTTATGTGATGTATCACATTTATTGATTTGTGGATATTGTACCATCCTTGCATTCCTGGGATAAATCCTACTTGGTCATGGTGTATGATCTTTCTGATGTACTGCTGGATCCGATTTGCTAAGATTTTGTTGAGGATTTTGGCATCTATGTTCATGAGAGATATTGGCCTGTAATTCTCTTTCATTGTGTTGTCTTTATCTGGTTTTGGTATTAGGGTGATGCTGGCTTCATAGAATGAGCTTGGAAGTGTTCCTTCCTCTTGAATTTTTTGTAGTAGTCTGAGGAGGATAGGTTTTAGTTCTTCCTTGAATGTTTGGTGAAACTCCCCTGTGAAGCCGTCTGGTCCTGGGCTTTTGTTTGCTGGAAGCTTTTTGATGACTGCTTCAATTTCTTCCATAGTTATTGGCCTGTTGAGATTTTTAGATTCTTCCTGATTGAGTTTTGGAATGTTGTATTTTTCTAGGAATTTGTCCATTTCCTCCAGGTTGTCTAGTTTGTTGGAGTAGAGCTGTCCATAGTATTTTTTAACAATCATTTGTATTTCTGTGGGGTCTGTTGTTATTTCGCTATATAAGGCTAACTTTAAGACTTCATCCAAATAAGTGGGCATTAATTATCAAAATTTAGCCCAAAATAGAAAAATACATTCAGATTAATTAACATAGAAGATCTAAAAGTATTAAAGATCTGCTCCCTAAAATAACCAAGTCTGGACAGTTTCACAGATTTCTACCAAACTTGAAAGAATAGATAATTCCAGTGCCATTTAATTTGTTTCAGACTATTCATATTCTCTTTATGCAAACAGCATAACATTGATAAAAAGAAAACTTGCCCAACATCCTATATAAGAAGAGGATTATATGCAGAATGACCCTAACAGCAGAACGACTGGGAATGACTGGTCACTATGACACACACTGACCACCAGGAGGCAGATGCTCAATGCAGGAGCTGCCCCATCATGGTCAGTGCACTCCCACAAGGGGAGCTCTGCTCAGCCACAAGCCAGGCTGACGGCTGCCAGCACAGCGGTGGTGGTGGGAGCCTCTCCTGCCTCCTTAGCAGCGCTAAGGATGCCTGACTGCAGCTTAGGCCTGCTCCCTGCTGGCAAGTGGACATCCCCCAAGGACTGCCAGGCTGCCAGAGGGATGTCTGACTGCCAGCTTAGGCCCTATTCCTTGGGGAGCGGGCCTAAGCCAGCAGGTGGACATTCCCCCAAGGGTCCCAGACTGCGAGAGGGCACAGGCCAGGCTGAGGGAACCCCCCCCCCAGGTGCACAAATTTTTGTGCACCAGGCCTCTAGTTATCACATAAAAGAAAACTATAGGCTTATTTCACATGAATACCAACATAGAAGACCTACATAAAGTCATGCAAACAGGGAAAATGTCCCTGCTAGGCCAGGATGCACTGGGGACTCTGAGATAGACAGAATCTATAGTGAATGTGTGGTCCTTTATTATCTATCACATGCTAAAGCACTGCCTGAAACTTTGGCAGAGCCTGACATAATACTCCAGAGGAAGGGCCCTGACTCCTATGCAGAGGAAGTTTTATGCCATAATGCTATAGAGGCACCAGCCCCTTGCCTGATGTGATCAGGGACCAAGAATCAATATGGTGTAATGGAAACTTGGCTTCAGTTCTATTCTGCCAGCCCAAGGTTCATGGACTAGGAGGGAAAACATCAGAATCTCTTCTGTTGAGAAAGAAATTGGAAATCAAACCTTGCAGCTAGAGCTATATGAAGGAGCAAGGTAACAGCAGGATTTGTCATATTGTTCCAGTCACCTATCAAAGCACCAGAGAGCTGTTATTGTCAGTCCCCTGAGTCAGAGGGAGAGAGTTGTCCCCTCCTCAGTTCTTGTCTTCTCATGGGAATGAATTCAAATGAGTGACTCCAGATACTGTATTGTGTTAAAGTGAATTTAGTAAGAACGTAATTTATTAAGAAAGCAAAACATGCAAATTTATTAAAGGAGTAAGGAAAGCAAATATATCACCCAGCATAAAACTCAGATGGGCTCTCAGCATTCCCAAGAGCCAATGGGGTGGGAAATTTCTACCTTATATACTTTTATGTCTTTAAATCTTAAAATTCCTCTGCCAGACATCTTGATACAGATTAATTTTCAAGGTCCCCCTTTTACTTTGTTATGGCTTTCTCAGAATTTGTGAGAAGCACTTGGCAATTTTATCTTGTCAAACCCTGAGACTGCTGGCTTTTCTTTTAGGGGATGGAATAAGATAAGACTGCACTCATCCTTCCCCATCCTCATCTTCTCTTACATTATTAGGAGAGACATTAACCATTTGCTCTCAAGTGTCCTTGACTGGGGGAAGATAAGGGCTTGCTATTTACAAGCTGGCTGTAGACTGGCAAACTGTTTGGCTTTGTTTAATTTTATTATCTCAGTTTCCCTACTCCTACTGCCTTGGAATTTTTCCTAGTTTCTTGCTATCCAAATATATAAAAGCCTAAGCAATCGAATGACCAGTCGACTAGTCGACCGGTTGCTATGATGAGCACTGACCACCAGGAAGCAGATACTCAATGCAGGAGCTGCCCCCTGATGGTCAGTGTGCTCCCATAGTGGGAGTGCCACTCAGCTGATGGACCCATCCCGGGAGCCCACCAGCCTGGCAGCAGCCACTCCCTCCCGCAGTATTCCTGCAGGTCCAATCTCTTCCAATCTCTGGAGAATGGGCCAGGCACCGACAGACCAGTAGGCAGGAGTGGCAGGCAGTGTGGGACTATCAGTTTCAGCCCGATCTCCACAGGCCACCCCAAAGGACCCCACCATGCACAAATTCTTGCACCGGGCCTCTAGTCTTGTAATAATATCAGCATTCAGTTTAGGGAAATTAGAAGCTCCTATCTTAGTCTAATCAGGAGCTTGATCCAGACCTTGCAGTTGACAAGCATTGATGCCATAAAAACTGGACTATTACTACTTTCCATGTAGCTTGAAAGAGTAGCTCTTGGAGACCAGAATTCCATAGATCAGTCTTGGACAGATTAACCTTTACTTCTCAATTAGTCCACAGAGTCCAGGAAAATATTGAAATAATAATATGCCACAGACAAGTGGGCTTATCTCAAGAATTCAAGGATGGTTAAATATTAGGAAATCTATTAATATTATTTATCATATAAAAATGTCAAAAGACAAAAAAGTATATGATCTCCATAGATAACTAAAGTTTTATAAAATCAAATAACCAAAATCCATTCTTGTATTTAAAAGCAATAATTGATGAGGAGATGAATTCTTTGGAAATAACATTTTTAAAAAATTCAGAAACAAAAAGAAAGATGTCCTTTATCGTCACTTTTATTTAGAATTGTTCTACAGATACTAGAAATTCAATTAGAGAATAAAAAAGAAATTAAAATTAGAAAATTAAAAATAAAATAATTATTCTTTGCAGATGATATTGTTATTTTACTAGGAAATCTAACAGCTGATCTAAAGTTATTACAAACAATAGCTAAAAATGGCTGAGTAGAAATTTCTATAATAAGTACATTTTAAAAAACATGATGAGGCTCTCTGACCATGATATGGCGCTGCGCGGTCCTTGTGGGGACGCTGCTAGCCTGGAGCGGGAGTGGCTTGGCGGGCCGGCTCAGCAGGGCGGCCTCGAGGATGGGCAACAGCACGTCGTGGACTTGGGGGAAGCCGGCAGCTGCTCCCATGAATCAGATCCAGGAAACCATTTCTGACAACTGTGTGGTGATTTACTCAAAAACATCTTGTTCCTACTGCAACATGGCAAAGAAGCTTTTTCACAACATGAGCATAAACTACAAAGCGGTGGAACTGAACCTGCTTGAATATGGAAGCCAGTTTCAAGACACGCTTTCCAAGATGACTGGCGAGAGAACCATGCCAAGAATATTTGTCAATGGGACTTTTATTGGAGGTGCCATGGATACCCACAGGCTTCACCAGGAAGGGGAACTGCTTCCACTGGTTCATCAGTGTTATTTGAAAAAAAGCAAGAAGCATTTTGGTGACAGTGTTTGAGGCTGTCTAACTATGTGAACAATCCTCATGAAAACTTTAAAATAATGAGCAATAAATCACTGTAGAAACCTCAAAAAAAAACCAAAAACCTATAATGAAATAAAAGTTACCATTTGTGAAAGTAATAAAAAATACCAGAAATATAATAAATAAGAAATTTTTAAGACTGGAATGTCACTGACAGATAAAAATAGAGACTTGAACAAAAAAATATATTTTCCCCTAAATCCAAATATCCATTTAACATGACCCAATAAATACCAACATGATAGTTTGTACTAAATAAACTAATTTTTTAAATTATTGTAAAAAAACAAACATAGCCAAGAATTTTATCAATGAGAACTAAGCACTACTTGACATTGAAACTATTATGTAGTTACTAGAGGCCCGGTGCACAAAAATTTGTGCACTTGGGGGAAGGGGGGGTTCCTCAGACCGGCCTGTGCCCTCTTGCAGTCTGGGACCCCTTGGGAGATAACAACCTGCTGGCTTAGGCCTGCTCCCGGGTGGCAGAGGGCAGGCCCAATCCCTAGGTGCAGCCCCTGGTCGGGCTCAGAGCAGGGCCGATTGGGGAGTTGGGGCGCCTTCCCCTGTCATGCACAGAGCAGGGCAGATTGGGAGGTTGCGATGCCACCCTCAGTCACGCTCAGGGTAGGGCCGATTGGGGGGTTGGGACACCGCCCCCTGTCACACTCAAGGCAGGGTCGATGGGGAGGTTGCGGCACCACCCCCTGTCATGCACAGAGCAGGGCCAATCAGGGGGTTAGGGCGCTGCCCCCTGTCACACACAGAGCAGGGCCGATCAGGGGGTTGGGGAGCTCCCCCCTGTCACACACAGAGCAGGGCCCATCAGGGGGTTGGGGAGCTCCCCCCGTCACGCACAGAGCAGGGCCGATTGGGGGTTGGGGCGCCGCCACTGTCACACTCAGGGCAGGGCCGATGGGGAGGTTATGGCTCTACCCCATCACACACAGAGCAGGGCCCGTTGGGGGGGGGGGCGCCACCCTCTAACACCCACAGAGCTGCAGGGCGATCAGGGGGTTTGGGCGCTGCCCCCTGTCACACTGATCCCAGTGCCGGGAGGCATCATGGCTCCGCTGATCCCGGTGCTGGGAGGCATATTACCCTTTTACTATATAGAATAGAGGCCTGGTGCATGGGTGGGGCTGTCTGGTTTGCCATGAAGGGTGTCCTGGATCAGGGTGGGGGTCCCCACTGGGGTGCCTGGCCAGCCTGGGTGAGGGGATGATGGCTGTTTGCAGCTGGTCACACACCCTTCAGGGTGGGAGTCCCCACTGGGGTGCCTGTCCAGTCTGGCTGAGGGGCTGATGGCTGTTTTCAGGCTGGGACTGAAGCTCCCAACCGCTCCTTTTTTTCTTTTTTTTTTTTCTTTTTTATTCTGGGCCAGCTTTAGCTCTGAGGCCTCGGCTGCTGAAAACAAGTTTCTGGCCTTTGTTTACCGTCTGTATTTGATACAATGTTGTGGTCCGGCTGGCTGAAGCTCCGCTGAGTAAAGCAGGTTTCTGGGTTCTTTTTAGCTTCTTTATTCGCAACATAGTTGCTGAGAGTTGCAGCTGAGAGGCCGGCAAGTCAGGGGGGGGAACGTTGGAGTTCTCAGTCACTGAAGCAAGCAAGCCTCCCTGTTCGCATCAGCTGCCTGGCTGCCGGCCACCATCTTGGCTGCCACTTAATTTGCATATCTCGGCCCTACTCTGTGAGTGCCGGGGGATTAGCCAATGGGAAGGGTAGCGGTCGTACGCCAATTTCCATATTTCTCTTTTATTAGTGTAGATAATATGGATTATGAATATATAGATTAGAAAAGCAGAATAGAATACCCAAAAACAGGCCAAAATAATTACAGGAATATAGTATTTCAGATCAGTGGATAAAAGATGACTTATTCACTAGCAAACAACTAGACAATAATTTGTTAAAACAGTAAAGTTGGATTGCTATCTTACATGTCATACCAAAATAATGTCCAGGCAAATTAAAGATTTAAATATGAAAAATAAATTGAAACAAGAAAGCACTAGGAAAAAAAAATCCCATAGGACTTATAAAAAATAATATCATGGTAAAGAAGTCTGTTTTATGTTTTACATAAACCCAGAGTGACATCAGCATCATGGCAGTGTGAGAGGACCTTCATATCGCTCCCTTTAAAGTTACAAATTGGACAGCTATAACTCAACAGTGCATTCCCTGCTCAACACGTACATATATCTGAGAGATCTGTGCATTGAGACATCTGAAGGTGGGCATATCAAAGTGAACAAAGGAGATGGGATGGGGGAAAGGACAGGGATGGGAATCACAGTATGGTGCTCACTATAGCAAATGTGATAGCAGTGAAAGGTCAGGGTGCAACCCCCACTGGGAAAATAGGAGGGTCAGAAACAGGAATGGGGCCTGGGTGGCAAGCATACATTGAGGCTGAGCCCAGGGTAAGGGGCAGAGAAGTGATGCACAGGGTGACAGCATGTCACAAACTACCATCACCAGACAAAAAAATTTTCAAATGAGGGAACCTGCCCCCCTTCCATTCTTTTGTGGTCTGCTCAGCAGTAAAAGCCACACTCAGAAAATTGTGAAAAGTCAGAAAACAACTTTCTAGCCTAAGTGGTCGTTACTCAATGGACCTAAACCCACTAGAAATAGCAGAGCTGCAGATGTGCAAGCCTGCTTCTCTCACCTGTGTAGCAGAGCCTGGTAGAAGCAACTGGGTCAACATTCAGAGCAGCTCTGCTGGCAGATTCTGGCCAGAAGGGCAGTGCCATGAATACACAGTCCAGGAGACCTATACCCAAGACCAAGATAATCAGGTGATTAAGGGGTCGCCCACCTCCTCAGGGAATACCTGGCATTTTCCAAGGCCAAGACAACACTGCCCCACAGAGATCCCCAAAGCCCCAGTAGTGCAGGTAAGAGGAAATAAAAACTTGAACTTCAGAGAAGGAAGATGGCTACCGACGGGATGGCAGACTGCAAGATAGTGGGGGAGAGTGAATGCTGTCGGAAGCCTGAAAATCCCATGAATCTACAACGGCATCCAGCAAACAGCTGCGAACCCAAGAACACCAGTCCCCAAATGGTGCGAGCATGTGGATTTGAAGGAGCTCTGCACCCCATCATGGAAAGATCAGATTCGCCTGGGATAAGGAGAGAGAGAACTACATAACCAGACACCCGGAGAAGAGAGATCATGGGGAGACAAAGAAACAGCCCGCATATGAAAGAAAAGCAGGCATCACCAGAAAAGGAAGTAAACAAAATTGAGGCAATGGAGGCAAGCAACCTGTCAGAGAAAGAATTCAGAGAAATGGTCATAAGGTGGATGAAAAGAATGGGAGACAAATTCAACAATATGTGTAAGAACCAAGAGGAAATGAAGAAGAACAAAGAAGAAATGAAAAATGACATCACTGCTATAAAGAACTCAATAGAAAGCATGAAAAGTAGACTAGAAGAAGCAGAGGACAGCATCAGTGAGCCTAAAGACAAGGTAGGAAAAAATACCCAAGCAGAGAAGCTTATAGAAAAAAAAAATTAAAAGGCAGGAGGAGAGCCTAAGAGAGCTTTGGGACAACATGAAACAAAACAATATCTGCATAATAGGAGTTCCAGAAGGAGAGGAAACTGAGCAAGGAATAGAAAACCTGTTTGAAGAAATAATGACAGAAAACTTCCCTGATATAGGGAAGAAAAAACTCACACAAATCCAAGAATGTCACAGAGTCCCAAACAAAATGAACCCCAAAAGACTGACGCCAAGGCACATTATAATTAAAATAGAGGCCTGTTGCACGAAGAGATTCATGCATTAGGCCTTCCTTTCCCCTGGCTGCTGGCACCGGTTTTCCTCCAGCACCCGGCATCCAGGCCTTTGCTCTGGCCGGGTTCTGGCCTGCGGTGCAACGAAGCCTCACAGCCCCGAGGCCAGAGGCACTGCTCTGGCCCCCAGGCTGTCAGGCTTCACTCCACCTCTTGGAGCCTACATATGCAAATTAACCACCATCTTTGTTAGGTTAATATGCATACTCTCCTGATTGGCTGGTTAGCATAGTGAAGGTATGGTCAATTTATATGTTTGTCTATTATTAGTAAGATTGGCAAACACCAACGATAAAGTAAGAATCTTAAAAGTGGCCAGAGAGAGACAGAAAGTTACCTACAAAGGATCCCCCATAAGACTAGCGACTGATTTCTCAACAGAAACACATCAGGCAAGAAGAGAATGGAATGAAATATACAAAGTCATGCAAAACAAGGGTCTGAATCCAAGGATACTGTACCCAGCAAGGCTATCAATCAAAATTGAGGGTAAAATCAGGAGCTTCACAGACAAAAAAGGACTAAGGGAGTTTATTACCATCAAACCAACAATGCAAGAAATGCTAAAGGGTCAGGTGTAAAAAGAAAAAATAGGAAATGAAGAAGGAACACAGGGTAAAGAATAAAAATGGCGACAAACAAGTATCTATCAATAATAACTTTAAATGTAAATGGATTAAATGCCCCAATCAAAAGACATAGGGTAACTGAGTGGATAAGAAAACATGACCCATATATCTGCTGTCTACAGGAAACCCACCTCAGAAAAAAAAGACACACACAGACTGATGTTGAAGGAATGCAAAAAGGTTTTTCAGGCAAATAGAAATGAAACAAAAGCTGGGGTAGCAATACTTATATCTGACAAATTAGATCTCAAAGTGAAGGACATTAAAAGAGATATGGAAGGCCACTTCATAATACTAAAGGGAGCAATCCAACAAGAAGAAATAACTCTGGTAAACATATATGCACCCAATATAGGAGCACCCAAATACATAAAAAAAAAACAACTTTTGGAGGATATCAAGGGAGAGATTGATAGCAATACAATCATAGTAGGGGACTTTAATACCCCACTATCACCACTGGACAAATCCTCTAAACAAAAAATCAGCAAAGAAACATCAATCCTAAATGACTCACTAGATCAGATGGAA